CAAGAGCTCTCTCAGCCCCACCTGCCTCACAGGGTGTCTGTTGTGGGGAGGGGAAGGGAAAGGAGTTTGTGAGCGGCTCTGAGACTCCTTTGGGTAGTGAAGGGCGGGGTATAAATCCAATCTCTTCTTCTTCTTCTTCTAAATAGCAGGAGGCCAAGGTGAGCCCCGGTGCAAGCTGTGGCCTTAAACTGCAAGCCTCCCTTTCCTTACGTGGAAATTGGGCATGTATGATGTTGACATCGGACCCAGTTTGTCTGTTGTAGGGAGCCCAGTGGGCGGAGATTGGATTGATACCCCGCCCTTCACTACCCAAAGGTGTCTCAGAGCAGTTTATAATCTCATTTCCCTTCCCCCCCCCCCACAACAGACACCCTGTGAAGTAGGTGGGGCTGAGAGAGCTCTTTCGAGGACTGCCCTTGAGAGAACAGCTCTGAGAGAACTTATGACTGACCAAAGGTCACACCAGCAGCTGCATGTGGAAGAGTGGGGAATCAAACCCGGTTCTCCCAGATCAGAGTCCACATTCTTAACCACTACTCCAAACTGGCTCTCTTCATTAATGGTCAAGACAGCCAGCGAAACACTACTAGAAACGTAGAATAATGTTAGAACTGTTATTGCAGGTAGTGAAGCCAAGCTCCCCCTGGTTATTGGCATCAGATAGGAGGGTCAGGTTGCCAGATCCAGGTTGGGAAATTCCTGGAGTTTTGGGGGTGGAGCCCGGGGAGGACAGGGACCTCAGTGGGGTGCAGTGCCATAGAGTCCCCCCTCCAAAGCATCCATTTTCTCCAGGGGAGCTGATCTCTGCAGTCTGGAGATGAGCTGTAATTCCTTGGGATCCCCAGGTCTCACCTGGAAGCTGGCATCTCTAACTGAGGCATGTAAAACCAAGAGCTATGGATTTCAGAAATCATTTCACGGACAAAAATCAAACCCCTTTTAACCAAAAAATCTGTCCTGACCTGTGGAATATGAAGGCAGCAACCCTCCCTCTAAAGCGGCTTGGGGAAAGAAATGTACTGTTCTCTCACTTCATTGATCTGAGTTAAGGCCAGCAGAAGGCGAGATTTCCTTTCCTTTCCCTGCGTCTTCCCTGTGTTTTCCCGGTGTGCTCGGCGCCCTGAGAATCATGCACTCTCCCGATTTTTTGCAGAGCCCAACAGCTCCTCTTAGTCAAGCTGCAGCGGCTCATGAACAGAGGCAGCCGGGACGAGACGGACAGTTCGTACGGGACGCTCCGACCTGCTCGGGTAGGTATTTGCAAAAATTCTTCGGCCTCCTTTTCCCTTTTCTCTGGTGTCTTCCGCGTTCCCCGCAAATGCTCTGCCCTGTCGTTCCCTTCCCGTTTGGGCCACAACCAGGGCTCTTTTTGTAGAAAAAGCCCAGCAGGAACTCATTAGCATAATAGGCCACACCCAACAGCAGAAACTCATTAGCCTATTAGGCCACACCCCTGACAGCACAGCTCATTAGCACATTAGGCCGCACCCCCATGTTATCAGAAGTGTGGTCATCCAGCCACACCCACCTTTCGCTTCTTATTCTGTTTACCTTGTCTGTTGTCAAAACGGCCAGGGCTTTTTTTGTAGCAGGAACTCCTTTGCATGTTAGGCCACACAACCCTATTGTAGTCAATTCTAATGAGTTTCTGCTGTTGGGTGTGGCCTATTATGCTAATGAGTTCCTGCTGGGTGTGGCCAACTCGGGAGCCACCCGGAACTCCGTTCCTGTGCGTTCCTGCCCAAAAATAGCCCTGGCCACAACTCATGTACTTTTTTTTTAAAAAGTGCCATTTCTGTGGATGTACATGTGGAAGCGCTGGCTCTTCGGCTTTGAAACGGAGATGAGCACCGCAACCCTAGAGTCGGATTCGACTGGCTTTCGAGCAAGGGAACCTTTACCTTTGCTTTTACATCTTCCATAGCGAGTTGTTTTTGCAGACCGCAACACCGGCTTTGCCCACCTTGTGTTCCTGGGATGTCGGGGTTGCGCTCATTAAAGCTTTTTTTCGGTTATAACAGTTCTGGAATGGAATGGTTCAGGAGGACACTTTTACAATGAGACAAGGGCTGTCGTTGGTGGCACTGTTCATTGTATGCATTAATCCCAGGGATCCCCAACCCGGCGCCCGTGGGCACCTGCCAACACCTTTCCAGGAGCCAGCCAAGTATTTTTATTTTTAGAAAGAGGGTGGAACCAGGTGGGGCTTTAGCCCAGCACAGGGCTATTTTTGGGCAGGAACGCACAGGAACGGAGTTCCAGCTGGCTCCCAAGTTGGCCACACCCAGCAGGAACCCATTAGCATAATAGGCCACACCCAACAGCAGAAACTTATTAGGACTGGCTACATTAGGGGTGTGTGGCCTAACATGCAAAGGAGTTCCTGCTACAAAAAAAGCCCTGGCCGCTTTGACAACAAACAAGGTAAAGAGAATAAGAAGCCAAAGGTGGGTGTGGCTGGATGTCCACACTTCTGGCAACACGGGGCTGTGGCCTAATAGGCTAATGAGCTGTGGTGTCAGGGTGTGGCCTAATATGCTAATGAGTTTTGGCTGTTGGGTGTGGCCTATTATGCTAATTAGTTCCTGCTGGCCTTTCTCTACAAAAAAAGCCCTGGCCCAGCAGGATTTCCGATTGGCCACTGGAGCTCTGATTGGCTGTGAAGATTCCTTTTTAAGCCCTTCCATCAGCAGCTCTCATCACAGCGCAAGGCTCTTCCCTGAACGTCTGAAGGCGAGAGCTGTGCGTATGCAAGAACAAACGTTACACAATGTGTTCCGTTCAGAAGGCTTCCTGTCAAGCACAGCTTCTGCTTGAAATGCTGAAGATTCATTATCAGTGTTATGCGTGAACTCGCTCCCTGACATTTTGTGGTGGTCTCCACGTCCTGTGGCAGCCGTTTAGTGCTTGTCCCCGCCTCCAGAGGCAGCCGTTTTGTGGTTGCGCCCACCACCCAGTGTCAGAATTCCAAAACTGCCCACAGGCTTAAAAAAGGCTGGGGACACCTGCATTATCATACTATATTATGTTCTTTTTAATTATTATTTTGTATTTTTTAATATGCGCGTGTGCGCATGCGCACATGTGCACCTGGAAGTCATGGCGACCTCTGGTGACTGAGCCTGGAGGCTATTCAGAGAGGGGGCTGAATGAAGCCTGCCCTTGCCTCCAGCTTCTGGTATTCCTTGGAGGTCTCCCATCCAAGCACTTGCCAAGAGTCGACCCTGCTTAGCTTCCGAGCTCTGACGAGATCGGGTTTCCCTGGGCTATCCATACTACATTATCTTCTGATGTCTGTAATCCAGTTTTTGCATTTCTTGTCTGTCCCGGTTTATGCTGGGGGGGGGGGGTTGCCTTGTTTCTTGACTGTAATCCAGTCTTATTACACTGTTTATTGTATGTCTTAAACTGTTCCTATGACACTATTCTAAATTTTGCGCTCTGCCTTGAGCCTGAGCAGGGAAGGTGTGTGTGCGTCAAGTTGCTTCCGACCAGGGGTCCTTTCGTAGAAAAAGAGGTGCAGGAGCTCATTAGCATAACCTATTTGCATATGCCACACCCTCTGACATCACCGGAAGTGTGTCAGAAGGCAACACCCACCGCTCAGGCTCCACTGGACTCTTTTGGATTGCTAGCTATTGGGGGGAACGTGCAGATCTGTCCTTGCAGAGGAGGGAGAGCTTGTACCTGAAGGCGGCCCAGGGAGGGGTGGCGGCTCTGCAACTTACCTGGATGCTTCTTGTGGCCCAAATGAGGGCTGCTGGGAGCTTGTTGCATGTGCCCGCCCCCTGGGCTCCTTACTGCCGGAGCTCCGCTCCTGTGCGCTCCTGCAGGAAATGACCCGTGAATTAATAACCTCCAAAATGCCCTGCTGTTGACAGCCTTTCCCAGGTCTTGGAAACGGAGGGCCTTTGTGGCTTCCTTGACTGTGTCCATCCATCCCATGTTGGGTCTCCCTCTTTTCCTCCTGCCTTCGGCTTTTCCTAGCGTTATTTTCTTTTCCAGTGAGTCTTGTCGTCTCATAATATGACCAAAGTACAACAGCCCTCAGTTTCATCATTTTAGCATCTGGGGAGAGATCAGGCTTAATTTGCCGGAGAACCCACCGATTAGTCTTTTTGGTGGTCCACAGTATCGGCAAATCTCTTCTCCAACACTGCATTTCAGATGAGTCAAGGCAGACGACAAACAAAGTACATAAAGAAATAAGTACTGGGAGAGGAAATTGTCTACAGTCCTCTCAATACGTACGGTTTCCTTGACACGTGAATCTTCCAGCTCTGAGATGCACAAATCTAGCTTTTTTGGTTCATGGACCAACGTTGGAAAATAGGCGCTTTGCCCTATTCACACAAAACAGTGGCAGCGCGCATCAAGACGATCACATGTAGTGTGCTTTCCCAGTACATTCTCATTTTACTCTCTGTTAAGTTCCTGTTTCTTCCGTGTGTGTGTGTGTGTGTGTGTGTGATGTTTCCTGTTTCAAATCTTGTTTTGCTCCCTCTAGTGGTCAATCCGATATCAGAGAGCTTTATTCCCAGTTTATCTCCCTGCAGTGTATAAAGCTGTTCGGTATAGAATTGACCACTAGAGGCAGCAAAACACGATGTGAAACAGGAAACATCACACACACACACCCCGAAGAAACAGGAACTTAATAGTGAGTAAAATGAGAATGCGGGAAAGCCCCTGGTAAAACCATCAAGCTCCTAACGACTGGACAGGACTTAAGTTATCCCTTAGGTCTGCCTTGAGGGACATATTTATTTTTAAGCATTTATATCTCCGGACTCTCAGTGTTCCTCCCCGCACGGGCTTACATATCTCCATCAAAGAACAAAAGCACCATTTAGAAAAATAAAACCCTAGCTACTCTTTAAAAGGATAATCTGTCAGTCCCAGAGACAGGAGAAAAAGCCCCGCAAAAATGACTAAAGGAACATCGAGAAGAGAATCCGCAAATAAAACCAAGCCGCCGGCAATCAAAAAAAAGAGAGAAAAGTTTAACAAGACACCGCGGCAATAAAAGGTGTTAAAATATTAAGACAATGGAAGAGATGTTAAATGTGTTCAAAGATATTAAAAATTTAAGGCGATAAAAGATGGTAATACGGTAAAAGCGAGACGCTTAAAGGCATGCACATTGGCTGAGATCAACAGAAAGCCGGGGGAATAAGAAATACCCCTGTTTGGTGCCGGAAAAGGACATGATGTGGTTTCAGTGGCACATGAGTGAGGCCAGAGAGATCGTGGTGGGACCTGTAGAGCCAGTTTGGTGCAGTGGCTAAGTGCGCGGACTCTAATCTGAGAGAACCGGGTTTGATTCCCCACTCCTTCACTTGCAGCTGCTGGATGACCTTGGGCAAGCCATAGTTCTGGCACAGCTGTCCTTGAAAAAGAGCAGTTTTTGTCAGAGCTCTCTCAGCCCCACCCACCTCACAGGGTGTCTGTTGTGGGGAGCGGAAGGGAAAGGAGTTTGTAAGCCGCTCTGAGACTCCTTCGGGTAGTGAAGGGCGGGGTGTGAATCCAATCTCTTCTCCTCTTCTCGTAGAGCTTCTCCTTTAAACTGGGGCTGGGGTCTACACGTATGAAAGACACGGCAGACGTCGGACCCCACTGTCTTCAGGCTGATGCCGCGAAAGCTGGGTGACTCTTTAGAGTGATATAGGCTTTTCTTCATACCGGCTTTGACAAAAGAAAATGTTCGAAACGTGTCAGCCAGCTGAGATTTGGTTTCAGAGGAACTGCCGCCTTCCCTGGAGTCACGCCACGAGAGGCATCTCCAGACAAAAAAAATTATACGAGTCCTTCTCAACTGCCTTATGCCTTTAAAATACTTTGTTATACACCCAGGAGGGTTATGCATTTGATGTACAAATATTATTAAGTTCCTTTAGGCTGTATATCATTTTTATTACATAACAGTAGAGAATCGGCGATATGTTAGCACAGTGTGGTTTACTTTCGTTCGACACTGTCCCCAGTTGGGGGCAGGGGATCCTCCCCCCAACAGGATCATGGAGCAACGTGCCTACGTCACCCAGAAGTGATGTAGGCACATCAGGGGGGTGATGCTCTGGTGTTTGGGCAAAACTCTATGGTTTGAGGGCAACTTTATCATAGAGTTTTGCCCAGAAACCAGAGTGTCGCCCCCGGCGTGCCTATATCACTTCCGGGTGACGTCGGCATGGTGCGCAACGTCACTTCTGGTGACGTTGGCATGTCAGGGGCAACGCTTCCAGCTCCTGGAGCATCCCCCCTCCATCCCCCTGCTGGCATCTTGAAGGGACCTGACAACTCGAACTTGGGTGGCTTCCACGCAAGGGTGTGAAGAATGGGAAAGGGGGAAATCTTCTGAAGGCGCTAAGAGGGGGCGGGGGGATGGTGCACGGCAGACAGCCGCCCCACGCCATTTTGGAAGCGGCGCTTAGCTCTGCCCCCTAGTGGCAAAAAAGGGACATCCATGCAGACGTTCCCTCCACAACCACTATAAAGATTCCTATTTCAATTGGAGAAAAACAGCTGTTCTTGAGCCCTGACCGGGATAGCCCAGCTAGCTTGATTTCATCAGCTCTTGGAAGCTAAGCAGGGGCAGCCGTGGTTAGTCCTTGGATGGGAGACCACCAAGGAAGTCCAGGGTCACTGTGCAGGAAAAGAAGAAGAGATTGGATTTCTACCCCACCCTTCACTCGGAGTCTCAGAGCGGCTTACAAACTCCTTTCCCTTCCCCTCCCCACAACAGACACCCTGTGAGGTCGGTGGGGCTGAGAGAGCTCTGACACAAACGACTCTTTTTCAAGGACAGCTCTTATCAGAACTACGGCTTGCCCAAGGTCATCCAGCCAGGTGCAAGTGGAGGAGCGGGAAATCAAACCCGGCTCTCCCAGATTAGAGTCTGCGCACTTAACCCACTACACCAAACTAGCTCTCACTTTGGAGGGCGTCATGCAGCACAGCCACATTAACCTTCTGCTGCTGCTGTCCTTTCCGGCCTGTTCTCTGTTCATCCCTCATCGAAATGCCGCTCGGACCGCTCGTGAGTTGTACGATTTTTCTTAGACCTCTCGACGCCTGTGCACCGCAGGCCGGCTTCATTGTTCCGAAATAAATCTTCCTTTCCTTTTCTTCTCCCTCTCCCGGTGTAACCCTTGCCAGAACACGCTGCAGCCGGAGGAGCACACGCCGCCGACTGACCCCAAAGCGAGCCCTCGTCTCTCCCGAGCCAGTTTCCTTTTGGGCCAGATCTTACAGGTAAAAAGTCTGCGCTCTCCGTTCGTGGGTCACGGGTAGCCCCAGTCTCCAGGCGGGGCTCGGAGGTCTCTCCCAGAATTTGCAACTGATCTCCAGGCTATGCTGCAACGTTGCCCTGGAGGAAATGACGTCTTCAGAGGACGAGACTGTATGGTATCGCAACCCTGCCGAACTCCCTCCCCTCCAGTGTTCCCTCTAAGCTGAGTGAGTGTGAGCCACCTCACAGGTTTTTAACCTCCGGGCGCACACATTTTTGTCTCCGCTCAGGAAGGATGGGGCTCCAGAGCAAACTGATTTATACAGAATCCAAATTGCTGGCTCACAACTCTAATGCCAGTAGCTCACAAAGTAGAATTTTGGCTCACAAGGTGCCACAGCTTAGAGGGAGCATTGCTCCCCTCTCCAGACACCGCCCTCCTTGGTTACCACCTGTCGTGGGTACTGGTTCTGCTGACTAATCCTCAACACTACCTGAGGAGGAGGAGTCCCCAGGAGGTGCGGCCAGAAGGAGAGTCCGATCCTGAGCCTGGCCCAGCGGCTCCACTTGCGGACACCCCGAGGCCAGACTCCCGGCCTAGTTCTCCCGAGTGCTCCAGACGCAGGGCACGGCAGAGGCTGACTGTGCAGGAGCAAAGAAGGAGCGACAGACTGCAGCTCCTGCAAAGGCGACGGGAGGAGCTGTAAGCCTTGGCAGACTCAACTCCCAGGGAAGGCAGCTGCAAGCGGAGGAGTGGGGAATCAAACCCAGCTCTCCCAGATTAGAGTCCGCGCACTTAACCACATGAGCGGGGTCTAATGCCCTACAGTCCACCCTCCAAAGCAGCCATTTTCTCCAGGGGAACTGATCTCCGTTCTGTGGAAAGCGGTTATAATTCTGTGGGATCTCCAGGCCCCACCTGGGGGGTGGCAACCCTGAGTGTACATGTCTGTGAGTGACCCTTTCCAAACTGCCTTTGTATTCTGTTTTAGTAACTGGCTGCAAATGGGTTTTTTTCCCCTGTCATTTCAGACAGACCAGTTTTAGAGAGCCAGTTTGGTGTCGTGATTAAGTGTGCAGACTAATCTGGGAGAACCGGGTTTGATTCCCCACTCCTCCACATGCAGTTGCTGGATGACCTTGGGCAAGCCATAGTTCTGTCAGAGCTGTTCTTGAAAAAGAGCCATTTCTGTCAGAGTTCTCTCAGCCCCACCTCCCTCACAGGGTGTCTGTTGTGGGAAGGGGAAGGGAAAGGAGTTTGTAAGCCACTCTGAGACTCCTTGGGGTAGTGAAGGGCGGGGTATAAATCCAATCTCTTCTTCTTCTTCTTCTCTTAGTCACCGGCCGCTAGCGGAATTTATTTACCTGGCTGGGCCGCTTTTGGGGGAAACTGCCTTTTCCCATCTTTAGCCCCTTCATTGTGCTTCTGAATCGCTGTGGTGTGCTTTTAGAATGTCTGTAGCGCTTCCTACAATGTTGTTTCCCCCCCACCCGCCGCCCTTTTTTGCCGTGCATTCTTCCTCAGACGTTTCCTAACATACTGAGGTGAGCGCTAGGCACCCCCGAGATGCACTGACTCCATTGAGTCTCTGGTGCCTTCAGTGCTGTAGCGATTTAGTGCTATATTGCTCACCTTGGAACGTAAAATGAAGTCTGAGGAAGATCGCATGGCAAAAAAAGTTTGGGAGGGAGTAGCATTGTTTGAAATGACCATAGCGCTTCAGAGACAGATCATTAATGGAAGGAAATCCGCTGTACGAAACTTCCGTCCCTGTATTGCTTTAAACGAAATCGGACCGACAACGAATAACATCCGATTTAGAACGGTAATGTGAACAGGGCAGGGGTCATTTATTTATTTATTTTATTTATTATTAAATTCATAGAAAATTTATTATTAGAATTTATTATTCATAGAAAAAGAGGTGCAGGAGCTCATGAGCATACCTCATTTGCATATGCCACACCCCTTGACATCACCGGAAGTGTGTCAGAAGGCAACACCCACCGCTCAGGCTCCACTGGACTGTTTTGGGCTGGGGGGCCGGGGGGGGGGGCTCTGCAACTTACCTGGCTGCTTCTTGCTCTGACTGAGGGCTGCTGGGAGCAGGGGGGGGGGCTTGTTGCATGTGCCCGCCCTCTGGGCTCTTTACTGCCGGAGCTCCTGCAGGAAATGACCCCTGGAACAAGGCCTGTGTCAACCAAGACCAAGGGCAGCTTTTATGAGCTGTAAAGCTCTCTAAGCATTCAGCAGGTGTTTCGGTGCGAGAGGAAAAGGAAACCCGGGCTTGTTTCTGTTAAGATAACTTTGCTCTGGGAGAGGAAAGATAATCAAGAGATAGCAGAGGGCTCCGTAAACGGTGCGAACACCCCGCCCCACTCTGTGTCTCTGCTCTCAGTTTGTCAGCAGGTCGGAAAACAAATTCAAGCGCATGAACAGCAACGAACGTGTCCGCATCGTTACTTCAAAGGAGACCCGGGCCAGGCCAGAGGCGCAGTCGGTGACGAAGGCGCTGCTTGATAGATTTGAAGGTACGAACAGTGGTGGAATGACTGGCCTTCGCGCATTCATGGGAGCCTTCTGGAAAGACAGGGGAGGGGGGCATGGCTTAGTGATTGAGCATCTGTTCAACAGGCAGAAGATCACAGGTTCGGTCCCCGGCATCTCCAGTTAAAAAGATCAGGAAGAAGGGGATGTGAAAGATGTCTCCCTGAGACTGCGGAGAGCTGCTACCAGTCTGACAACACTGACCTTAAGAACATAAGAGTAGCCATGTTGCATCAGGCCAATGGCCCATCCGGTCCAACACTCTGTGTCACACAGGGGCCAAAATCCAGGGGCCATCTGGAGGTCCACCAGCGGTGGGGCCAGAACTCCAGAAGCTCTCTCACTCTTAACCCCAAGCACCAAGGATACAGAGCATCACTGCCCCAGACATAAGAACATAAGAGTAGCCATGTTGCATCAGGCCAGTGGGCCATCCAGTCCAACACTGTGTCACACAGTGGCCAAAGCCCAGGGGCCATCAGGAGGTCCACCAGCGGTGGGGCCAGAACTCCAGAAGCTCTCTCACTCTTAACCCCAAGCACCAAGGATACAGAGCATCACTGCCCCAGACATAAGAACATAAGAGTAGCCATGTTGGATCAGGCCAGTGGGCCATCCAGTCCAGCACTGTGTCACACAGTGGTCAAAACCCAGGGGCCAGCAGGAGGTCCACCAGTGGTGGGGGCCAGAACTCCAGAAGCCTTCCCGCTGTTGTCCCCCAAGCACCAAGGATACAGAGCATCACTGGGCCAGACATAAGAACATAAGACAAGCCATGTAGCATCAGGCCAATAGCCCATCTGGTCCAGCACTCTGTGTCACAGAGCGGCCAAAACCCAAGTGCCATCTACTAAATTAGATTTGCTAGGTCACCCTTCCCTGCAGGTAGGGCTCCAGGCAGCTTACAACAGAGTGATAAAAAAACTCTTTCGTTGAAAGCAACATTAGAACCAGTTAAAAACAGATCAATAAGTAGAAACAAAATATGTTGTCGAAGGAAGCCATTGAAATTCACAAACATAAACGCCATTTCAACAGGAAAGAAGAAAGTTTAAAAATAAACACGGCATGGGTTTCCTGTCCTGAAAAACACAAAAGGCTCTACGCCTGACAACAGCACTACAGATCAGATTAGAATTTCAACAGCCGATCCATATGCAAAAGAACCTCCTCAGGAAAGCTCCTCCATTCACACGTCAAGGCCTGGGGAACTCCTACAAGAGAATGACTCGGCCCTACCCCACCTTCCTGAGTAGACATAAATTACCTGCCTACCATCTTTCTTCTCACCTTGACACCGAGAGTACGCCGTCTTTCTCTGTTATACCTCTGAGGATGCCAGTCACAGCGGCTGGCGAAACGTCAGGTCCTACAATGCCAAGACCACGGCCACGCAGCCCGGAAAACCTACAACTAAAGAAACAAAATACATATACCAGATGGCAGAAAAATCAGCTCCCCCGGCCTCCTTGGGGGTAGGGGTTGCGAGGGATGGGGAAGTGTATGAGACTGCCGAATGTCATTCGCTGTCCTCAACCAAAGGACTGGCGGAACATCTCTGCCTTGCCTGCCCTGCAGAAAGGTAATAACTCCCACAGGGGACAGCTGTCTTCCGGCAGAGAGTTCCACCAAGTGGAGGCCACGGCTGAAAAGACCCTGCCCCTGGTTGAGGACAGTCGGATCTCTCTCGGGCCGGAGACCACCAGGGAGTCCTTATTTCCTGAGCGCCTGGGTGTGTGGGTGTGTGGCACCTTGTCCATCAAACGAAGACCGGACACTCATGGTTCAATACACGCCGATCTTGAACTGGGTCACCTGCATTCTGGTCAGGTTGACCTTTTCTTTCCAAGCGATTTAGATTCCGACGAAACCACGCCACAGCCATTGTCTGATGGGCGCGTATGTCCGTGTGGAGGAGGAGAGGAGGAGGAGACTGGATTTATACCCCACCCTTCACTACCCAAAGGAGTCTCAGAGCGGCTCACAAACTCCTCTCCCTTCCCCTCCCCACAAGAGACACCCTGTGAGGTAGGTGGGGCTGAGAGAGCTCTTGACAGAAACTGCTCTTTCTTAAGAACAGCTCTGACAGAACTACGGCTTGCCCAAGGTCATCCAGTAAGTGCAAGTGGAGGAGTGGGGAATCAAACCCGGTTCTCACAGATTAGAGTCCGTGCACTTAACCACTAAACCAAACTGGCATGCCAACCAATGATCCCTCTAAGCTGTGGAGTCTTGTGAGCAACAATTCTACTTTCTGAGCTCCTGGCATGAAAGTTGTGAGCAAGCGATTTGGCCGCTGCAGAAATTACTTTGCTCCGGAGCCCTCCTTCCTGGGCTATGACAAAAATGTGTGAGCCGGAGGCTAAAAAACTGTGAGCTAGCTCACACTAACTCAGCTTAGAGGGAACACTGGTGCCGACCTCGAAGCCGCTCTTCACTTATCCATCAAATGCATCTCCTTTTTCCTCCCCTCAGAGTTCGACTCGGTGACTGAAATCAACAGGAGCTTGAGCCTGGTCCCGTATAGCTCCGTGAGGCCCACCCACTGTGACAACCGGCGCCCGGTCCTTTTCACTCCGACGATGCTCTCGAAGACCTTGATCCAAAAGCTGCTGAACTCCGTCGGGGCCTTGGAATTCAATTTGTGCAAGCCAGGTAACCTCACCCGGGAGAATCACAGACTGCTCCTTGTTAAGACACTGTGGCAGCCTCCCATACAATCCACACAAGGCTGTGGCTCAGTGGCAGAGCCTCTGCTTGGCATGCAGAAGGTCCCAGCTTCAATCCCCGGCATCTCCAGTTAAAAAGACCAAGTAGTAAACGATATGAAAGACCTCAGCCTGAGACCCTGGAGAACTGCTAATAGTCAGAATAGGCAACAGTGATCTTGATAATAGGGCCTGTGGCTCAGTGGCAGAGCCTCTGCTTGGCATGCAGAAGGTCCCAGCTTCAATCCCCGGCATCTCCAGTTAAAAAGACCAAGTAGTAAACGATATGAAAGACCTCAGCCTGAGACCCTGGAGAACTGCTAATAGTCAGAATAGGCAACAGTGATCTTGATAATAGGGCCTGTGGCTCAGTGGCAGAGCCTCTGCTTGGCATGCAGAAGGTCCCAGCTTCAATCCCCGGCATCTCCAGTTAAAAAGACCAAGTAGTAAACGATATGAAAGACCTCAGCCTGAGACCCTGGAGAACTGCTAATAGTCAGAATAGGCAACAGTGATCTTGATAATAGGGCCTGTGGCTCAGTGGCAGAGCCTCTGCTTGGCATGCAGAAGGTCCCAGGTTCAAGTCCCCAGCATCTCCACTTAAAAGGATCAGGTCATAGGTGATGGGAAAAAACTCAGCCTGAGGCCCTGGAGAGCTGTAAAGAGGGGCCGTGGCTCAGTGGTAGAGCATCTGCTTGGCATGCAGAAGGTCTCAGGTTCAATCCCCGGCATCTCCAGTTAAAAGGACCAGGCGGCAGGTGATGTGAAAGACCTCTGCCTGGGACCCTGGAGATCCGTTGCCAGTCTGAGTAGGCAATACCTATTTCGATGGACCAAGGGTCTGATCCAGGATAAGGCAGCATGATGTGTTCGTGGGTGTTCACAACTGTTTCTTGGGACCCGGAACAGAGCACTAAAGGATATGGAGATGATGAGAAGCTGAAACAGAGTGATGTGTGGCTAATGACTTCATGTGTGTTAATAAGACAAGAGCTGAGTGCCAGAAGTAATTTGGCCAAATTTGGTCCGTTAAGAACAAAACGAGGATTGCTGAGACTGATAGATCAAACCCCGTCAGTAAGATCCGTCGAAACCTTCAGAGGGAACACATCGGGGCACATTTGGAAATGGCAAGCAAATACGGATCAGCGCCTGTCAAAAAGAAAGGATGACGTGCGTTCTTTGGATGTTGACTCAGAAGACGTTAAATGGCATTTAATATCATTTTAATATTGTTTGCGGTAATACCACTTCTGAACCACTGTGGCTCAGAAGCCACTGAGGCTCAGAGAGAGGCTGCGGTTTGAAGCTCGCGTTCGTACTGGGGAAATGGAAAAGCTTATAAAGCGGAACTGGCCCCCATGAAAGAAACACCCTTTGTAATCACTATTATCAGGGCTCTACTGGTAGCAGGAGCTCCTTTGCATATTAGGCCACACACCCCTAGTGTAGCCAATCCTCCAAGAGCTGACAGTAGCCCCAGTAAGAAGAGCTCTGTAAGCTCTTGGAGGATTGGCTACACTAGGGGTGTGTGGCCTAATATGCAAAGGATCTCCTGCTACCAGTAGAGCCCCGACTATTATGAAAATAACAGATATAAAATATATCGTCCCAGACCTGTTAATCCTGCCCATGGCAGGTGGTCAGCTCAAAGACATGGATGTTTCCCACTCTCCCACTCTCAGGTGGTCAAGTGGGACTCTGAACAGCTCAGGAAATCAACTACGATTCCTTCAAGTCTGTTGTATGTGCTCGGATTTCGTAGTCAGCCGCTGAATCCTGGAGCCAGGAGGTGGCATTGGGGGAAGGCCTCATCCTCTGCGACCTGTTGTTGGCCCTCCAGAGGAACTGGTTGAGGCCACTGTGTGAGATGGGATGCTGGACTAGATGGACCCTCACTGGTCTGATCCAGCAGGGCTCTCTGATGTTCTTATCAGCAGAAGGCCTCAGCTTCTGTGCCCTGTTGTTGTCCCTCCAGAGGAACCGACTGTCCACTGTGTGAGACAGCATGCTGGACAAGATGGACCCTCACTGGTCTGATCCAGCAGGGCTCTCTGATGTTCTTATCAGCAGAAGGCCTCAGCTTCTGTGCCCTGTTGTTGTCCCTCCAGAGGAACCGACTGTCCACTGTGTGAGACAGCATGCTGGACAAGATGGACCACCATCCAGCAGGTCTCTTCTTATGTTCTTGTTGCTCAGCTGCAGGGTAATGGGCTCCACCACAAAATGGCTGCCACAGAAGGCGGGGCCTAGTGTAAAATGGCTACCATGGTGGACAATTACTGTATGTTTGGAGGTTCCAAGAGAGGCATCCTCCTATGATGAGGATGCCTATTTCTGAGTGGGTGCATCTTTTGTTTATTTTTACATTTGTGCACCTTGGTGCTGAAATGCAAGGACTTGCTGCTACTGTGCATGCGCAGAGAGCAAAGGAGCTATGCCACCTGTAGAAGGTGGCCATGTCCCTCCTGGCAACAGGCAGGGGAAAGGGGGATGTAACAGTGGCAGGGAGTGGTCTGGGCCACGTGGCAATACTCTGGTTTTGAGGCAAACTCTGTGGTAAAATTGGGCTCAAACCATAGAGTTTAGCCCAAAAGCCAGAGCATCACCACGCGACATCCCCAGCACAATGACATCACGCAGAAGTGACATCATCACATTGGGGACATCGTGCTGAGTCATCACTGTTGGGGGCAGAGCCCATAAAATCGGGGGATCCCCCGCTCCCACCTGTGGGCCAGCGACCCTAGCTGGTGAATTTGAGCACATCATTACCCAGTCAATGTGAGGGTAGTTGAAGTCTCCGAGTATCACAGAATTACCTGCTGGAGTCACCTCCCTTATTTCCTTCTCCATCTCAAGATGAATCTCAATGGTCTGATCAGGTGGTCAATAGTACAACCCCACTTTTAAAAAAAAAGTTTTATTAGTTTATATATAGAAAGGGGGAACGTTTTTGTACATTTTAAGAACATAAGAACATAGAAGCCAATGTTGGATCAGGCCAAAGGCCCATCCAGTCCAACACTCTGTGTCACACAGTGGCCAGAAATACCAGTGGCCATCAGGAGGTCCAGCAGTGGGGCCAGGACATTAGAAGCCCTCCCACTGTTGACA